GAAGCGTGCAGCTCCCCATCCTGCAGGAAGAAAGGAAGCACCAGATCCGGGAGAAAGGGCTCTGGGAGGCATGGCTCAGATGGCCTGCGGGTGCGCCAGGAGACAGACATCATGACAGCCCAGACAAAGCCACAGTGCACGCACCAGCCATTCTAACAGGCAGCTTGAACCCACTGAGAATACACAGTCACATTTGTACATGACAGTGCCACATCTGGGCCTTTGGAAGACAGACACATTTGGTACCCTAGCCAGAGACCCTGAGCCCTGAGTTGCCCTAGGAGACAGGGATGCCTGTCCCATAACTACCCCTGGACAAATCACTTCCCATTCAGCCTCCTCACCCCACCCCACCCTACCCCCCCTGCAGTAGCTGCTGCCCCCATCTTGAAGGTAGACAGATGCTTAGAGCTGGAGAAACAAAGAAGTGATGAGCCAGGACCCAGACGGATAACTGAGAGGAGGGGTCTAGGGATATAGGTCAGTGTTAGAACATTTGAGAAGCCCAAGCTCTATCTATCCTAGCATCCTAGCATGAGAGAGAGGAGAGAGAGAGAGAGAGAGAGAGAGAGAGAGAGAGAGAGAGAGGAAGGAAGATCTGGCATGGTGGTTCATGCCTATACTCCCAGCACTTGGGAAATGGAGGCAAGAGATCAGGAGTTCAAGGTCATCCTCTGCTACATAGCAAGTTCAGGACCAACTTATAATGAGGGAGGGAGAGAGGGAGGTTGAGGGAGGGAGGGGGAGAATCTCAGAGATGATGCAGGGTCAGACACTTCCTACCTTGCTCTTCCCCCACCATTGGGTACCCTCCCTGCAGACTCAGCAGTCTGGAAAAGTGGAACTGTCACTTTAAAGGCACTGACCAGGCCAGTGGAAGGTAGTCTGCTATCTGGGGCTCTGTCTAGGTCTGCCTAGACTCACCAGCCTCCTTCCTTCTGGATCCTCCCTGCTTGCTGGCATCTGTGGCTTGAACCATATTGAAAATACAAACAGGAGAGCAACTGCCAAGCAGCACCCAGCCAAGCATATTGCCTAGAAATACAGATGGCTATCTGGGACGGTGGAGCCCAAGGCACTGGCTTACATTTTCCCTGGAAGCATCTGGGAGGGGACCAACCACAGAGAGCAGCTAAGTCCCCTCCTTGTGTCCTGGAATTTGAAATTCGAGGCATATCCAGGACCCTATCCTGCCCCATAAGCTGCAGGAAGTCTGTAACTGTAGTGCCACCTAGCCTGACTTTCTGTGCACTCAGGACAGCCCAGGGCACATCCTTCTCTGGCTAAGGGGTGGGAAGATGGCACATGGAGGCTGGGTGATTGTAGGCTTCCTGCAATCCTGTAGTGTATTTTCTAAAACACTCTTTGTGTGCGCGCCATCAATCTCAGTATACAGGATGCTGAGGCAGGTAGATCTTTGAGATCCAAGCCAGCCTTAGCAAGTTCCAGGCAAGTTCAAGACACAGTGAGGCTCTGTCTTGAAAAATAAAAATAGGCCAAGATGCTCAGCCTTATATCCTGCCTACAGGTGTGGACAGGAAAAGGCCGAGGGATGAAGGGCCAGGACCCTGCCCCTGAGGTCTGGTTAAAGAGAAGAAGGCTGGTAGGCTGGGAAGGGTTGATGGCCAAGTCCAGGGAGTCATGACTCTGCACTTTCTGTAAGTCACTGATGGCACAGCTTCTAGTGTCCAGTCTCCACCAATGGAATGAAGGGAAAAGGTCATGAGTGTGTCATCATAGAGTGGTCCCGGTAGCCCAGGGATGAATGTGGAAGGCTGGGAGCCTTGAACAAAGGTAACTAGGTATGCGGTCTGAACCTTGGGAGCAGCAGATACACCTGGCGAGCTGGGGATAGAGGGGAAGGATGCTAAGTGAGTCCTACAGAGGGGGACATGGTGGGGTCCCCTACTGCACTCTGGAAAGGGACATAAAGCCAGCAAGTGAGCAGGCTGAGTTTGAGCCACTTTGGGGAACATGATCTGGGGAACAGGCTTGCTCCCAGAGGAAAAAAAGATGGCGGCACAAGTCAAGAGACCTAGTGGGTAGGAGGGAAACAAAGGGCCCAAAGGGAGTGTGTGCTAGGGACATCAGCATTCAAGGTTATTAGGCAAGTAAGGTATCACAGCAAGACATTATACTCCCAACAACTAGCCTGAGTAACCAGACATACACACACACACACACACACACACACACACACACACACACACACACACAAACACAAACACATACCCTCCCCAAGGCCTTACTATGCCCTATCTCTCTAGACACTTGGCTGCCAGCATATGTTGACAGATTCCAGCAAGCCAGGAGGCAGGTAGAGGGTGTTAGAAACAAATGAATCAGTAAAGTGTGTATCTTCTGCCTGGATGGGAGAAGGAAAGCAAGCCCCTGCCCCCTCAGCTAACTCAACCATCTCTTCACCACCCATAGGACCTGGGCCTTGAAGGAAACCTCCTCACTGACATCCTCTACAGGAATGTGGCTTTGCTTAACCTGGTGGACCCCATCTCCCATGACTTGCTTGTGAACCTAGCCCGGGACCTGCAGTGCCCCAAGAAGGTGAGATCAGTGGGCATAAGCCTGGGGAACTTGGCTTCTCATGCTTGCTTAGGCCTTAGGCTAGTCACTATCACTCTTCAAGAACAGCTTCAGGAGCAGGTGTGAACTGTTTCGCTGAGCCTCCAAACCATGCTCCTAGAACCCCACCTGAGCAGAAGACCTATAGAGACCAGAATACAGCCCAGAACACTGTCAGAGACATATATTCTTGCTCTTGGGTCAGAAGAGAGCTGCTGTAGGCTGAGGCCCCTGGTCTACGTCCTACTTGGACATCTTCGGGGGTGGGGTTCACAATCCCTTCCACTGTTCCTTGGGTCACAAGTCCTATGCCATGCTAAGTCGGAGCCTGCTACCTGCAGCCTCTACCTCCTTGGACCCTGTTCTGACAACACCTGCAAATGTCCCACTGTAAACATGGACACAGCACTGGCCTATAGATCTGTGGTCAGCCATGAGTCCCCAAGCATCTTGAACACAATGAGCCCCACCATGTGAAATAAGGGGATCTACTGTCAGCTCTGACTAGTCCACAGTCATCCCAGTAGCCACCTAAGCAGTAGTTACTCTGTGTGTGTGTGTGTGTGTGTGTGTTGTAAGCTCTGGGGGCTCCTTTAAAAGAATGTTCTGTGTATGGAACGTGCTCAGTGCCAGCTGTGTGGAAAGTAAATTTGTGTGCCCCCAAGCTTGGCCTCTTTGGGGATACAAGTAGGACCAAGAGAGAACCGTGCAGTGCAGTAAAACATCAAGCCCCGGCCCTGTCAGCCCAGACCCAGGCCCCACAGGGGCAGTGTAGCTTGGAGAATGAGAGGAAGAACATGCTGACCTGGCTTGTTCCTATTCTCTGGGGCTGGCGTCTCTGGAATAGGGCTCCCTCAAGGGGCCTGATGTGGCCTCTTCCTTGTGGCAAGTCCCTTGGGGGTGTTGAGGGTGGCAAGCCGCTGGCTGATAGCTTGAGCTACTGGCCTTAGGCCTGAGAACAGGGAACAAGGGCCCATTGTCTGGGCTTCCTCCCACCGGGCACTGCGGGCCTCAGACTAGCCTGTCCAGCTCCCAGCAGGCAGCCTCTCCTGGCAGTGAGCCAGGCTACAGCCGAGGCAGAATGGAAGGGGCTCACAGGCTCATCCTCACCACGATCTCCTCCCACCCCCTTAGGACCATGAGCCCTGGAAGTCCTCCGATAAGATCTGTAGGCAGCTCATCTACCACCTCACTCCTCACTCCAAGCGAAAGCCCCACCGGAAAACGCAGAACAGGTAAGGAGAGCCCAGCTACACAGCCCTTGCACCCTGTCTTTCAGGGTCCCTTCTCTGAGAGCTAAGTACACAAAAACCTAGTTCTGTTGCTCCCTTGCCTTCATCTACATGAAGGCTCCGGCCCTGGCAACCACCCTGGCCCATGGCAGCAATACCCCTAAGTCAAGCTGCATGTTCCATGAGTTGCTTCCCATTTCTTCCAGGAAAGTGACACTTCCTGCCAGTTCCTGGTCCCTCCATCCCTGTCACTTTCCAGGAACTGTGCCTCCTTGGGTCACAGGTATATCAGGTAAAATCCTCATAAGGGCAGATTCTGAGTCTCCCATTTCACAGGGAGGAACACTGAGTTAGGAGAGGGAAAGTAGCTTGCCTAAGGCCGTTCCCTCCCTGATCACCCTGCAGCCTTTGAGAACTTATCAGCTCCAGGCTTCCTGATACAGAGACTTCCACAGCCTCTTGATAGCTTGCTCTGCTTGTGGTTCCCTGATTTGGGGACCCCATGACACAGTCTCAGCCCAGAACCAAAGGCCTAGAACCACAACTGGGAGTTGACCTGAGCTCTATTTATCCCCACCCTGTCTTGTTCTTATACCTTGTGACCCAAGGTGAACCCAGGACCCATGAGTCTGCTTCCTGCCATAGCAGATGGGGCCCTGGCAATGTCCTCACTGCTCTTAGTAACCTGCTACCCAAAGTGCTCCTGTCTTCCTAGAAGGCTGTGGATAAAGGACAGGAGAGAAAGCAAAAGTGTGCTGGGGCCCTGGAGGACATTCCCCCAGTCTCTAAGTGCCTCTTTCAGCTTAACACAGGGTGGCCTTGCCTAGCAATCCCTTTGCCCATGTTGTCTACTTCTCCCTCTTTACTGTCCTGGGCCTGTCCCATCTCTAGACCCCAAACACTGAGAGGACCAGAATGATACCATATCCACTCATGGCAAAGTTTTTCATCATCTTAAAGGATGCTGCTTGTAGAGGGGCACAGGAAAAAGAGTGTAGGCTCAGGGGTCAAAGCACTGTGATGTAGAGCCCTGGTCCTCACTTAGTGATGTACAGCCAAAGGACCTTTTTCACTTCTCTTGGTTCCTTTGTAGAGCAGGCTATCACCTATATACACCCTTGGGGTATTGTGAAAATAAATAATATTAACAGGTGCACAAAGCACAATGATAATAGCTTACACATAGAGCCTTCATCATGTGTGTAATCCTCACCACAGTCCTGCCACTATTTTACCAGAGAGGAATCTGGGCTCAGAGAGATCCGCAGCATTGCCTTTGGCCGTCAACTTAAAAAATGGCTTAAAAGTGATTTGCTTGGTTTTAGGTTTGTTTGTTTGTTTGTTTGTTTTTTCAAGACAGGGTTTCTCTGTATAGCTCTGGAGCCTGTCCTGGCACTCGCTCTGGAGACCAGGCTGGCCTTGAACTCACAGAGATCCACCTGCCTCTGCCTCCCTACTGCTGGGATTAAAGGCGTGCACCACCAACGCCCAGCTGTTTTTAGTTTTTAAGTGTATGTATGTGTGTTTTCCCTGCACGCATGCATGTGCACTGTGCATGTACTTGATGCCTGAAAAGACCAGAGGGTGTTGAGCTCCTTGGCACTGCAGTCACAGAGAGTTGTTAGTCAGCATGTGGGTGCCAGGAACTGAACTTGGGTCCTCTGAACGAGCAGCAAGTACTCTCAATGGCTGAGCCATCTCTCCAGTCCCAGAAGTGGCATTTTAAAGCAGGCTTTGCCAGGCCAGGGGACCTAGGTTGCCCTTGGTGGGTAACTGCCTGCGGTGGGCGGTGTCCGGCCTGGGCCTGGATCTGGGCTCTGGTTCAGTGCACCCATCTGCATTCTCCCGTAGCCTCAAGAGCAGCCTCCAGAAGACTCTGCTGGTAGGGGAGACTGTGGACCTTTCTGGCATCCCGCTATCCGCCCGAGACGTACACCACATAACGCGCTACCTGGGCAGCCACGGCGTTGAGCTGGTGGTCCTAGACCTGAGCTTCACAGGGCTGAGTGATGAGCTGCTGCACCTGCTGCTGCCCAGCCTTTGGGCTCTGCCCCGCCTCACCCAGCTGCTGCTCAATGGCAACCGACTGACGCGAGCTGCCGCCCGGGAGCTCACTGAGGCTATCAAGGACACCGCCAAATTCCCGGTGTTGGCCTGGGTGGATCTGGGTAACAATGTGGACGTGGCCTCACTTCCCCAGCCCCTGCTGGTTGGCCTGCGAAGGCGACTGAGTCAGCATACCTCCCTCCCCACCATCTATGAGGGTCTGGACCTCGAGCCTGGGGGTGGCATGGCCGAGGCCTCTGCTGCTGCCTCCACCTGGGGCTCTGCAGCCACTGAGGCAGGACCAGAGCCTCAGGGTTGTTGTGCTAGGTGACTAACTACTGGTCTGGTTCATTGCTACTGACTGGAGTCTTTTAAGAATGAGGTGTTGGGGGCTCGTGATGTCCCACAGAGAGTCAGCCCAAATGCTCGAATTGGGGTCAAGTGGGTGGAATAAGGGTTTCATGGAAGACAGGCAGCCAGCCCAGGCTAGGGACTCCACCTCACCCAGCAAAGAGGGGCCCCAGCACCCACAGCCCAGACCTGCCAGGAAAGGATGGTGGCCCTCACCTCAGGCTTTATGTACTACGGACTTCAGACTCATTGAGCTCAGGTTTGCTGCAGAGCCAACCAGAGCTATGCTGATGTTCCCTTAGTGCTTCCTGGCAGAGGCTCCATGGAAGCCGAGGTGCAGGGGTCATAGGTTCAATGGTGTGGACTCAGCAGTCAGAGGAGACATGATGTCTGGGCAGCATTTGAGCTCTATATATCTGGGGGTTCAGGGGAGTAGGCTGTGAGTCACAGACAGGCCGAGCTCTGATTGGAGCCCCACAGCAAGTGCAATCGGGGCCCCTTCAGTGTGCGTTAGGCTAGGGACTGGGCTTCACACACTAAAGGCAAAGCCACAGTGGATCTGAGGGGCTGAGTCTGTGTTTGTCCCCAACAGGGCATAGCACTGCCCACTCTCCCCAGCTCTGGTCCCCAGGCTTCCTGTACAGGCTGGCTAGAGACGAGCTATAGTGTTTCTTCTAGCTCTGGGGTCACACACAGCATGTTGGGGGTGGAGGAGAGGACAGTTAGCATCAGGAGTTCTCCGGGCAGAACAGACCTAAGGGGCTCTCTGTGGTGAGTTACTGTCTTCCTTTCCTAAGACTCTCAAGGTTCCCAACTAGAAGCCTAATGTCTGGTTGCCCTTGCTGCCCCATTTAGGAGACTAGAGTTTTAGCTCAACCAGAAGACATGCAGAGCATGTGGGGAAGGGACTCAGTGTAGAGCCAAGACTTAAGGCCTGATGACAGTGGAGAGACCCAGTAACAGAGGGCAGCCTCAGGGTCAAGGTAAAGGCTGCGGGGTGGGGAGTCTACACTGGACCCATGTGCCCAGAGCCCATCAGCTCTGATCTACCCACCTCCCTGTCCGTCTCCAAGTGGACAGTATGCTTAGCCCCCTCTCCACCCCGCAAAAAAAAAAATCAATTCCAGCAAACCACAAACCAGTGGCCAAGAAGGGAGTGGGCTGGATTACTTCACTCCCAGGCCTGGGACAGGCCGGTGAGGGAACGGATTTCACCTCATGCTCCCCTGCTTTGGACAACTGCTTATCAAGGGGCAATGAGAAGAACGCAGGCCTCTGGCTCTGCTCTCTACTTCTTTGGGCCTGGGACCCAACTTCCCCCTCTCTGTTAAGCAGAACTGGCTGTCCTGGAACCTGGTACTCAGTGCTTCATCTAGAGAAGCTAATCTCACCACCCCACCCCCAATCCCCCCCACCCCATCTCTCCCCCTTCCCCTGCTTGTTTTAAAGATATGGCTTGGAGTTGGAGAACTTTCCCTGTGCCTTACTCACTCAGGACAAGAGTTTGGGCTTTCTGGAGCCAGGCAGAGCCGGGTGGAGTATGGGCCAGCGGAGAAGGAAGAGAGAGCCAGCTTTGGGCCCAGGCGACTGATAACCCCGTCACATGCCCAGGGAAGCTGAGTTCTCCCTGTAACTCCTTCCCGGACCACAGCAGAGCTCAGGGTCTCCCCTGGCCTTCTTACTCATTGCCCATAGCTGGTCTGAAGCCGGCCCACAAACCTTTGGATGTCACCATGCAGTGAGAGTCCTCCTGGGGTGATGATGTGTGAGGATTAGAGCCAGGTGTCCCAGGCAGTGTCCAGGCAAATCCAGGTGGCAGCAGATGTTCTCAGTTTCTCCACCTTTTGGAGGCATGTGATGCAATAGCTGAGCCAGACCCTGAGATGGCTTAGGAGATGTGGCCAAAGTTGGCTTTGCTGCTATGCAAATGGTCCGGGCCCTTCATGGACTTTTCATGACTAACCAGCAGGGAGATTCCATGGGCAGGGACAGAGATTTCTAGAAGTGAGGGAGGGCTGTGTCTTGTCTTTGTGCTACTGTAACAGAACACCACATCCTGGTAATTTATAAACAACAGAAGTTTACTTAGCTCATGGTTCCAAAGGCTGAGAAGTCAGGCAGAAGGAGTGCATCTGGTGAGAGATTTCTTGCTGTGTCATTGTATGTATCACACGCCTGGAGAGCATGAAAGAGGCCCCACTGTGACAATAAGGACTTCCATGCATGAGGGCAGAGCCCTGCAGACCTAATCACTCTTTAAATCACATCTCTTACCTGGTGGGTTTTCTTTTTTTTTTTTTTTCCTTTGGTTTTTCGAGACAGGCTTCTCTGTAGCTTTGGAGCCTATCCTGGCACTCGCTCTGGAGACCAGGCTGGTCTCGAACTCACAGAGATCTGCCTGCCTCTGCCTCCTGAGTGCTGAAATTAAAGGCATGTGCCACCAATGCCCGGCCACCTGGTGGGTTTTCAATGCATGCATTCTGAGGGAGGTATTCAAGCCTGTATATGCTCCACTCAGATTGGTGGTGAGGAGAGCACTGGCCAGAAGAGAAGGAAGCATGTAGGGCCTTGCTCGGGTACCAACTTGGAGACATCCAAACCCATCCATAGTCCAGGCCCATCAATTCCTTATCATTGTGGTCCATTTGGGAACTAAGTACAAAAGTCCTCCTTGTCCTGATGAAGTGAGAAGGAAATGAGGTTTGAAAAGAGCCTGCCACATGAGGGATACAGGCCCGCATGCTGTAGTATCAGAGAGTCCACCTGTCTGCCTGTCTATCTATCATCTGTCTGTCTGTCAGACTATCTATCATCTTTATCTACCTATCTACTAACATCTATCTATCTATCTATCTATCATCTTTAATCTATCTACTATCATCAACTACTACCATCTATCATATCTATCTATCTATCTATCTATCTATCTATCTATTATCTGCCTACCTGTCTGTCGGTCGGTCTGTCTGTCTTAGCACTGAGAATCGAACTGTGGCCCTGAAGCACACTAGGCAAGTGCTTTTTCATTGCACTATATCCCAGCTTTCCATTTATTTACTTATTTAGCCAGAGTCTTGTGATGTAGCCTATGCTGGGCCTGACCTTTCACTCATCCTGCACCTACCTTCTGAGTGCCCCGATGACAAGCCTGTGCCACTGTTGCCTAGCACAATCTTTCCGAGAATTCAGAATCACAGGCAACTGGACCCTGTTGCACCAAGGTTTTCTCTGGGTGGAAAGGGGTAGTGCACTTGGGCTGGGAGATTGCTGCCAGTCACCACCACCAACCACTGCTGTCATCTCTACCAACAGAGACCTCCAGTGTTTTCTTCCCAACTGCATACTTTTTGGGTTTTTTGAAAACAGAAATTTATTTAAGAAGCAAGTCATTATGAGCTGGGCATGGTGGCACATGCCTGTAGGCCTGCCTTGGCTATGTAGTAAGTATCCATAAAATTGCAACATCATAAAGCAAACACAGTGTGACAAGTTTAAAGTGTGCAGCATAGTTTTGTGACATTTACACATTCATGACAACCATGGCAGTAAATGTGTCTGTCACACCCAAGCTTGCTGTGCTGTCTGCTAACCCCCTTCCTTCCACACCTACCTCTCTCAAAAACCATTGGCCTCTTCTGCCCCATAAATTAGTTTCCACTTTCTACATTTAGACTCCTACAAATGTACATTACATATACATACATATATACTATATATACATATTAAGAACAGCACTGTTATTTTGAGACACGCCTATATTATTGCGTGCATCAAGACTTGCTTTTTGAATAGTATTTCGTGGGTGCACCACAGTTGACCCATGAACCTGTTGATGGATATTTGGTTGTTTCTAGGTTTTGGCTATGACAGACAAGGCTGCTATGAAATTCTTGTACTAGTTGTGGCATGAGCATTTCATTTCTCTTGAGTAAGAACCTGGGTATGTATATTAATTAGTCGTCCATTGCTAGGAGGAAGTACCTAAGAAAAACAACCTAGGAGAAGAATTTGCTTTGGCTTGTTATTTCAGGGGTGTCTCTCCACACTTACTTGGTCCTTTGGCCCCACACTCTTGGGCCTGAGAGAAGGCTAAACATGTTCAAGCAAAGTCATTTAGCTTGTGGCTGCTAGAAAAGAGAGAAAAGGTGAGGGCAGAAAAGATAGATTTTTGGATGACCTTCTTCCTCCAATTCTAAACCCATTTATGATTAAGCCCATTAATGATCCAGTCTGCTCTGTAGACCACCACCAGCTAGGAGTCAAGCCATCAGTATAGCAGCCTGTAAGGGCTACTGTTCACATCCCAACCATTGAGAGAAGAACGACCAGGACCCATGGTAGGTATCTCTAACACTTTAAGAAAGGGTCACACTGATTTTCAGGGTCTTTACATAACTTCACAGTCTTAACCAATAGTGTACAGGATTTCAGGCCCTCCCATGTATGGCTGCTAACTGAAAACATTGGTAATTGTTAGTGTGGTGTACAGGAGTGGGCGGGTACACGGCACACATGTGGGGGTCAGGAGACAACTATATGGACTTAGTTTCCTCCTTCCTTATCTACATGGGCTCCAGGAATTGAACTTAGATTACCAGGTTTGCACAGCAGGAGCCTTTACCCCCTGAGCCATCTCGATGGTCTTATGGATTTTAATTTAATCTCACTATTGTCTGAGAATGCAGTGTGACTCTGTACTGTTTGAATTTTTTAATTAGTTTTATAGTTCACCATATGGCCAATACTGGTAAATGCGTGTGCTTTTAAGGATGTATATCCCGTGGCTGCTGAGTATAAGTGTTAATTAAAGTCAGGGTGGTTGGTAGTATTGTTTAAGTATAAGCTATGCTTGCTGATTTTCTATTTGTTTGATCTGTTGAGCAGGAAGTCTCTGGGTAAGTCTCTGACTGTAAGTGTGGGTTTCTTTATTTCTTAGTGATGTTCTATTACTTTTTTGCTTTGTATGTTCTGAAGATTTATTACTGGGAGCATAAACATTTAAGTCTGCCACAGACCCTTGATTGACGGCCATGCTATCATCACAGGACTCTTATCATGACCTGGAGATATTCCTTCTTCTCAGATGTGCCTGACTGATACTAATTAGTTATGTGATGCTTAACAATCAAAGCTAGATTATTATTAATGGCTAGATTTTATGTCAACTTGATACAAGCTAGTGTCATTTGGGAAGAGGGAATCAGTTAAGAAAAATGTGCCCACCAGATTGGTCTATACATGAGATTGTGGTATATTTTGTTAGTGATTGTTGGGGGAGGGCCAAGCCCATTGTTGGTAGGGCTATCCCTGGGCTGTTGGTCCTGAGTTCTATGAGAAAGCAGGCTGAGCAGGCCAGGAGGAGGAAGCCAGTAAGCAGCACTCCTCTGTGGCCTCTGCATCAGCTCCTGTCTCCAGATTCCTGTCCTAATTGAGTTCCTGTCCTGACTTCCCTCAGTGATGAACTGTAATGTGGAACTGTAAGCCGAAATAAACCCCTTCTTCTCCAAGTTGCTTTTGGTTGTGGTGTTTTAACACAGCAAGAGATTTATTTTTATTACTTTTAAGTGTGTGTGTGTGTGTGTGTGTGTGTGTGTGTGTGTGTGTGTGTGTGTGTGTGTGTGTTATTGTATCCCCTTGGAAACCTAGTTACAGATGACTGTAACCCACCATGTGGGTGCTGAGAACTCAGGTTCTCTGCAGGAATGCGCTTAAACACTGAAGTCTCTCCAGTCTCCTCCCAGCCCTTTTCATCTTTTTTCCTTTAGTATTTACTTTTTTTTTTTTTTACGGCATATTTTGATCACATCCTTGCCCTCTTCAACTCCTCCCAGATACTCTCTGCCTCCCTACATACTTAACCTCATATTCTTTCTTTCTAAAAACAAAAAAACAAAACAAAACCCAAAAAATTGAAACACAAAAACCAGTAAGAATAATGCCAAAATGAAAAAAAAGTACCCCCCCCCCCACACAAACAAAATGGAGTCCATCAACTACTCCTGAGCACATAGCCTGTCCTGGATTGTGGTTGATAGATTCAATGAAATGCTACTGGAGAAAACTGATTTCCCCTTGCCCAGAAGGCATCAGCTACAAATAACTTCTTGTCAGAGATGGAACTTTTTATCTACCTCCTTTCTCAGTGCGGAACCTGTGCAGGGCCTATGCATGCTGTCAGAGTCTCTGTGAGTTAATCAGTCCTGTTGTGTCTGGAAGACTCTGTTTCCTTAGGATCCTCACCACATCTGGAGCCTATAGACTCCTACTTCTTCTTCTTCTGTATAGATCCCTGAGCCTTGAGAGGAGGAGGGGTTTGGCAAAGACAACCCCCTTAGGACCAAGTGCTCCAAGGTCTCTCAGTTTCTGCACATTGTTCAGCAGTGGGTCTCTGTGTTAATCACTACACACTGACAAAGGGAAGTTCTCTGATGAGGGTTGAGCAATGGGCTGATCAATGGCATAATAACATGTCATTAGACAGCTCTATTGCTATGTTCCTTTAGCAGAAAAACAGCAGTAGAGTTTCTCCTGGAGCTCATGGCCTGTCTACTCTCAGATTCTTGGCCACTTTTAACAGTGTCAGGTATGCGTTCCATTGAGTGGAGTGGTCCAATCAAACAGTGGTTGGTTACTCCTATAACATTTGTGCTACTATTGCACCAGCCAAAGGGGGGTTGTGGCTGGGTGATTCTGTCTCTCTTCCTTTCTTCCTTTTTTTTTTTGAGACAGGGTGTCTCTGTGTAGCCTTGGTCATCTTGGAACTTGCTCTGCAGACCAGGATTTCCTCAAACTCACAGAGATCCTCCTGCATTTGCTCCTGGAGTGCTGGGATTAAAGGTGTGATGACTACTTTTCTTTGTAAAGTACCTTCCAGTACCATGGATGTTAATCTGTAGGGGTGAAGCTTCTAGTTAGGCATCATCTTGATTTTACCACATTTGATGGCACAGTTAGTGGTATCTTCAAGCCTTACCATCATGTTGTGGAGAGGAACCAATAGCCTTGGCAATAGCCTGCAATGTAGGGGGGGGGTGTT